CCTGCCCTGGAAAGTTTCACTGGAGAATTCTACCGAACTTTCAGAGAGGAGTTAATACCACTACTACTAAAGGTATTTCAGAGCATAGAAAAGGATGGAATACTCCCAAACTCATTCTATGAAGCCAGCATAACCCTGATATCAAAATCAGGTAAAGACATTACAAAAAAAGAAAATGACAGACCAAAATCCCTCATTAACATTGATGCAAAAATCTTCAACAAAATTCTACCCAATAGAATTCAACAATATATCAAAAAAAAAAAAAAAAATTCACCATGATCAAGTAGGATTTATACCAGGTACGCAGGGATGGTTCAACATTAGAAAAACTATCAATGTAATCCATCACATAAATAAAATAGACAAGAAGCACATGATCTTATCAATTGATGCAGAAAAGGTATTTGACAATGCTCAACACCCATTCATGATAAAAACCCTCAGCAAAATAGAAATAGAAGGGAAATTCCTCAACATACGTAAAAACATTTAAACAAAGCCAAAAGCCAACATCATCTTAAACGGACAGAGTCTGAAAGCATTCCCCTTGAAAAGGGGAAGCAGACAAGCATGCCCTTTATCACCACTCTTATTCAACACTGTGCTGAAGGCACTAGCCAGAGCAATTAGGCTAGAAAAAGAAACAAAGGGCTTCCAAATTGGTAAGAAAGAAGTAACAGTATCTCTATTTGCAAATGAGATGATCTTATACACAGAAAACCCCAAAGAATCCACAAGAAAACTACCGGAACTAATAGAAGATTTCAGCGAAGTATCAGACTACAAGATAAACATACAAAAATCAGTTGGATTCCCTACACCAACAGAGAACTTCAAAGAGGAAATCTCCAAATCAATATCACTTATAATAGCCCGTAAGAAGATAAAACACTTAGGAATAAATATAACCAGAGATGTAAAAGATCTACACGATGAAAACTACAAGACACTACTGCAAGAAACCAAGAGACCTGCATAAGTAGAAAAACATACCTTACTCATGGAGGGGAAGACTCAACATCATGAAAATGTCAATTCTACCCAAAGTGATCTACAGATACAATGCAATCCCGATCCAAATTCCAATGGCATTTTTTAATGATATGGAAAAACAAATCACCAACTTCCTATGGAAAAGGAAGAGACCCTGGGTAAGTAAAGCATTACTGAAGAACAAAGTGGAAGGCCCCATACTACCTGATTTTAGAACCTATTATACCACCACAGTAGTGAAAACAGCCTGGTACTGGTACAACAGATACATAAACCAACTGAACAGAATTGAGAATCCAGACATAAATTCATCCACCTATGAGCAGCTGATATGTGGCAAAGGCCCAAAGTCCGTTAATTGGGGAAAAGACAGTCTCTTTAACAAATGGTGCTGGCATAACTGGATGTTCATCTGCGAAAAACTGAAACAAGACCCATAACTCACATCATGCACAAAAAAATAACTTAAAATGGATCAAAGACTTAAATATGAAATCTAAAATGATAAAGATCATGGAAGAAAAAATAGGCACAATCCCAGGAGCCCTCATACATAGCGCAAACAGAATACAAAACATTACTAACAATACACAAACACCAGAAGAGAAAGTAGGTAACTGGAAGCCCCTAAAAATCAAACACTTATGCTCATCACAAGACTTCACCAAAAAAGTCAAAAGACAACCTACAGACTGGGAAAAAGATTTTGGCTATGACAAATCCAATCAGCGTCTGATCTCTAAATACTACAAAATACTGCAAAACCTCAACAGAAAAAGATAAACAACCAAATTAAAAAATGGGCAAAGGATATGAACAGGCACTTCACCAAACAAGACATTCAGGCGGCTAACAGACACACGAGGAAATGCTCATGATCATTAGCCATTAAAGAAATGGAAATCAAAACTACAATAAGGTACCATCTCACTCCAACAAGGCTAGCATTAATCCAAAAAACACAACAAAATAATAAACGTTGGAGAGGCTGTGGAGAGACTGGAACACTTATACACTGTTGGTGGGAACGTAAAATGGCACAACCACTTTGGAAATCGATTTTGCGCTGCCTTAAAAAGCTAGAAATAGATGTACCATACGATCCAGCAATCCTGCTCCTTGGAATATATCCTAGGGAAATAAGAGCCGTCACACAGATATATGCACACCCATGTTCACTGCAGCACTCTTCACAATAGCAAAAAGATGGAAATAACCTATGTGTCCATCAAAAGACGAATGGATAAACAAATTATGGTATATCCACACAATGGAACACTACACAAGGATAAAGAACAACGATGAAGCCGTGAAAGATAACATGGAGAAAGCTGGAGATCATTACGCTGAATTAATTTAGCCAATCACAGAAGGACAAATATCGTATAAGACCACTATTATAAGAACTCACGAAAAGGTTTAATCACGGAAGAAAGCATTCTTTGATGGTTATGAGGATGGAGACGGAGAGGAGTATTCATTAGCTAGAGAGCAGACACGAATTATCTTAGATAAAGGGAAGAACAACACACGCTACAGGGGAAGTCAGCATAACTGGACTATACCAAAGCTAAGAAGTTTCTTGAATACAACCAAACATTTCGATGGACTGAGTAGCAGCGGTGGGGGTCTGGGGAGCATGGTTTCAGGGCATATCTAGGTCAACTGGCATAACAAAGTTCATTAAGAAAATGTTCTGCATCACCCTTTGGTGAGTGGCGTCTGGGTCTCAAAAGCTAGCGAGTGGCCATGTAAGATGCATCAATTGGTCCAACCCACCTGGAGCAAAGGAGAACGAAGAACACCAAAGACACAAGAAATAGCCCAAATGTGTGTTACTGTTACATGAGAAACTATCTGTTCTGTATGCCTTCACCTGAAGTACAATAAAATATTTAAAAAAAAAAAAAAAGAAATAGCCCAAGAGACAGAAAAGGACACATAAACCAGAGACTCCATCAGCCTGAGATCAGAAGAACTGGATGGTGTTCAGCTACCACCAATGACCGCCCTGACAGGGAAGACAACACAGAGTCCCTGATGGAGAAGAAAACTGGGGTGCAGAACTCCAATTCTAGTAAAAAGACCAGACTTAATGGTTTGATTGAGACTGGAGGAACCCTAGAAGACATAGCTCCCAGACTCTCTGTCAACTCAGTACTAAAACCATTCCCAAGGCCAACTCTTCAGATGAAGATTAAACTGGACTATAGGACATAAAATGATACTGGTGAAGACGACGCTTCTTAGTTCAAGTAGATACATGAGACTAAACAGGCAGCTCCTGTCTAGTGGCGAGATGAGAAGGCAGGGAGGGTCAAGAGCTGGTTGAATGGACACGGGATATCTGAGGTGAAAAGGAGGAGTGTGCTGTCACAGTATAGGGACAGCAACTAGGGTCACATAACAATGTATGTATAAATTTTTGTATGAAACACTAACTTGAACAGTAAACTTTCTCTTAAACTACAACAGTTGAAAAAATAAATAAGTGTAAATTCCATGCTAGCTTTTGCATAATAAAGTAGGGGAAATAAAAAAATTTCATTTATATTTGCTTGCTTTTACATAAACACTGGCAAAATGCTTAAGAAATGAAGCTGGTTATTTAAAGGTAGCTAGGAGAAAAGGGATGGGCTGGATGAGGACAAGAATAGAAGTCTTCATAAAATATACTTCTAAAGTTTATCTTCGATTTTCAAATTTGAAGGCACTATCTAACGAAAAAACATAATTTCAGTAAACTATACTGCACTTTAAAACATGATAAAATTCAAATGAGATAGTAAATGTTTTCACTGTATTAGGAATTCACATATAACAATAAAACCATGTAAATTTAATCATTTATGACCCAATTATCATTAAAGGCTATAATAAACTCGTACAAATCACAAAAATATAAATTAGAGCTCTCTTTCTAAACACAGTAACCAGGGATATTAGAGTCTATATGTCCATTTTATCTCAGCCAGGAGAATGTTTCTAAAATGGCTAAAATACTTAACATTAACGGTTCTGGCATGACTTGTTAAATGTTTAAGAACTTTCTCAAGATTTAAGCCTTAGAGTAACTTCTACATCAAAATAGGCACTCCTCTGTGTTTGAGTTTATATCAATTAAACTGAAAAATTCTCAACAGAAATACACCAAATGATCTAGAAATTTTTTCAAGTGGAAACTGTAAACCCAAGAACTTAAATGTACACATCTCTAATGTTGAGCTTCTTTAGCAAAAAAAATTTTAATTTTAAACTCCAATACAAGAGTATGGAAAGCAGTCGAAAATTATAGGGATTAAATACTAGCTCTCAGCATAGGTGGGAGGACACGGAGCTACACTGGGGACTCATGCTTTCCACACACCTGAAAGCCTCAAGGTAAAAGCATTCCCCACTAAAAAAAGACATGGGGCTGAAGAGCCCACACATGATCCAGCTGGACTTACCATCCCCAGGTTCCTACCTTTAGTGAGGGCCTGAGAGCACCAAGTCCCACCTAGGGACACATAAACAGTCAGCGCCTTCCCCTAGGAACTATCTCTTCCCGTATTACCCCCTCACACACAGTGAGAGGTGGAGCTGCAGCGCCTGGGGGAAGCCAAGAACACTGCAGTGATGGGACAGGATGCCTCTGGAGGGCCTAGGGCTCAGCCTCAGCCAGAGCTGTTCTGTCTCAGACTCTGGTCTGAAGATGGTCATTTAACACAGAGTACCAAGGCCCAGAGTGGATACGCCCCATGGTGGCAGCTCTGAGAGTCACATAAAGAGATGACCACAAGCATCCAAATCTTGAAAAACTACATATGTATAGACGAAGCATCCACGGACAGTGGAGCAGGGCCTTAGGATGCTTCCTAGGGCCCAATCCTTTGATCTCTTCTGCCACCTTTTTACCTCACTGAGGAACCTTGGGGCCTGCAGCACACAGGTGGTGCTCAAACAATTCCTATCAAGCCTCGCTCTCTCACGGTAAGACTAATGCAGCTCTCTGCAGTACTCACCATTTCCTTGCTGCAGCTTCTGGAAGTCTATAAGTGAATGTCCTCTCTAAGCCCAAGAAGCCTTTTAAAGTAAGAGGGATGTGAGTGGAGGCAGGGCCACTGGGCAGTCTAGAGGCAGATGAATAATGTTGGGTCCACACAGCCAGTAAGAGCAGTTGAAATCCTTTCTTATAATTTACAGATGTGCAAGATGGTCGCCCTAGGTCTCCAACTGCCTAGACTGGACTAGTTCTCCCTGTGTCACACCTGAGACCTGAAATGGAAGAAGATGGAGGGAGAGAGTGCTGAGTAAGGAGGGAGTGACAGCTTCTTGGCTCGCAGCTCTTTCCCTGAACAGGGCTTCCTTCCAGGCTCAAGGTAATATTCCACCCTGAGAGCATTTGCATTTAAGGCAGAAACAAGCTCCAAACTTGCAGAACACACAATTTTATTCTTCACACAGACACACAGGCCTCTTCCTTCAGGCAACGAGATCACACACAGAGGAATATATTCACACCAAAGAATCAGAAGCATCCAGGCCTGGCCTGGCTGGAAAACATGAACCTGATTTCCTCCAGGGATTCAGAGGTCCAAAGTTGAGGTCAATGGTTCTCCTACAGAACACTGCACCTTGTAGATCAACACACACTTTTATTTGATATCAACATGGGTAAATTTTCAGGAAAGATATATTTTCTCAAGTTTGTCAATGAACTCATCATGAGTTACTTATTTTTAATGATGTCAGTAAAAGCTCTTCTTTTGTGCTTTGTTTTTGTTAATTTTCATTTCATTTATAGCACTGTAATAGGTGATCAGTATTTTTCAGATGGATTTTAGCTGAAAGCTGGGACTATCAGAAAGGTGTTTATCTGTGTTTTATTGACTACGCAAAAGCATTCAACTGTGTAGATCCTAACAAATTACGGGTATCATTGCAAAGAATGGGAATTCCAGACACTAATTGTGCTCATGAGGAGCCTGTATATAGACCAAGAGGAAGTAGTTCGGACAGAACAAGGGGATACTGGGTGGTTTAAAGTTAGGAAAGATGTGCAAAAGGGTTGTATCCTTTCACCATACTTATTCAGTCTGTACGCTAAGCAAATAATACTAGAAGCTAAACTCCATGAAGAACGACACATCAGGACTGGAGAAAGACTCACTAACCTATGATATACAGATGACACAATCTTGCTTTCTAAAAGCAAACAGGATTTGGCAAGCTTACTGATGAAGCTCAAAGACTACAGCCTTCAGTATGGATTACTCAACATAAAGAAAGCAAAAATTCTCACAACTAGACCAATAAGCAACATCATGATAATCCTGCAAATACTGAAGCTGTCAAGGATTTCATTTTACTTGGATCCACAATCAATGCCCACAGATGCAGTAATCAATAAATCAAATGATATTCCAACAAATTTGAAAACCTAGAGAAAATGAACAGATATCTAGAAATACACTACCTACCTAAACTAACACAAACTGAAGTAGAAAATAAACCAGACCCATAACAAGAGATTGATGAGGTAATAAAGAAACCCCAATTTAAAAAAAAAGCCCTGGCCCAGACAGCTTCACTGGAGAATTCTACCAAACTTTCAGACAAGAGTCAACACCAATGCTACTCAAGTTATTTTAAAGCATAGAAAAGGAAGGAATACTCTCGAACTCATTCTATGAATCCAGCATAACCCTGATACCAAAACCAGGCAAAGACACCACAAAAAAAGAAAACTACAGACCAATATCCCTCGTGAACACAGATGCAAAAATTCTCAAACAATTCTAGCCAATAGAATTCAAAAGCGTATCATAATAAAACATCACGACCAAGTGGGATTCATACCAGGTACGCAGGCATGGTTCAACATTAGAAAATCAATCAACATAATCCACCACATAAACAAAACTAAAGAACCACAGCATCTTATCAACTGATGAAGAAAAGGCATTTGACAAGTCCAACACCCATTTCTGATAAAAACTATCAGCAAAATAGGAATAGAAGTGAAATTTCTCCATGTAATAAAGAGCATTTATACAAAGCTACCTCCACTCGTCTGTCAGTCTGTCGTATTGAAGGGGCTTGCATGTTGCTATGATCCTGGAAGCTATGCCACCAGTATTCAAATACCAGGAGGGTCACCCGTGGTGGACAGGTTACAGCTTAGCTTCCAGACTAAGACTAGGAAGAAGAACCTGGCAGTCTACTTCTGAAAAGAATTAACCAGTGGAAACCTTATGAATAGCAGATCATTGTCTGATATAGTGCCGGAAGATGAGCCCCTCAGTTTGGAAGGCACTCAAAATACGACTGGGGAAAAGGTGCCTCCTCAAAGTAGAGAAGTCAACCTTAATGATACGGATGAAGTCAAGTTTTCATGACCTTCATTTGCTGATGTGGTACAACTCAAAATGAGAACAGCTGTAAACCTCCATTAATAACTGGAAAATGGAATGTACAAAGTATGAAACTAGGAAAACTAGAAATCGTCAAAAATGAAATGGAAAGCATAAACATCTATATTCTAGGCATCAATGAGTTGAAATGGACTGGGATTGGTCATTTTGAATCAGACAATCATATGGTCTAGTATGCCGGGAATGACACCTTGAAGAGGAATAGCATTGCATTCATAGTCAAAAAGAACATTTCAGGATCTATCCTGAAATACAACACTGTCAATGAAAAGATAATAACCATACACCTACGAGAAAGAACAGTTAATAAGACTATTATTCAAATTTACGCACCAATCGCTAATGCCAAAGATGAAGAAATTGAAGATATTTGCCAATTTCCGCAGTCTGAAATTGATCAAACATGCAATCGGGATGCACTCAAAATTACTGAAGATTAGAACGCGAAAGTTGGAAACAAGAAGGATCGATAGTTGGCAAATATCACCTTGGTGACAGAAACAATGACAGAGACCGCAAGATTAAATTTTGCAAGACCAACCAATTTATTGCAAATACCTTTTTTCACCAACATAAACAGAGACTATACACATGGACCTCACCAGAAGGAATATGCGGGAATCAAATTGACTACATCAGTGGAAAGACACAATGGAAAAATCTCAATATTATCAGAACAAGGCCAGGGGCCGATTGTGGAACAGATCATCAATTATTCATATGCAAATTCAAGCTGAAACTGAAGAATATTAGAACAAATCCATAAGAGCCAAAGTATAACCTTGAGCACATACCACCTGAATTTTAGATACCCTCTCAAGAAGAGATTTGACGTGTTGAACACTAATGACCAAAGACCAGACGAGCTGTGGAATGACATTAAGGACATCATACATAAAGAAAGCAAGAGGTCATTAGAAAGACAAGAGAGAAAGAAAAGACCTAAATGGATGTCATAAGAGACTCTGAAACTTGCTCTTGAATGTCAGTACCTAAAGCAAAAGTAAAAACGATGAAGTAAAACAGCTGAACAGAAGATTTCAAAGGGCAGCTCGAAAAAAAAAGTAAAGTATTATGATGACATGTGAAAAGATCTGGACATAGAAAACCAAGAGAGAAAAACACGCTCGGCATTTCTCAAGCTTAAAGAATTGAAGAAAAAGTCCAAGCCTTCAGTTGCAATACTGAAGGATTCTCTGGGGGAAAATATTAAATGATGCAGAAAGCATTAAAAGAAGATGGAAGAAATACACAGAGTCTCTATACCAAAAAGAATTGGTTCGACGTTCAACCATTTCAGGAGGTAGCATATGATCAGGAATCAATGGTTCTGAAGGAAGAAGTCCAAGGTGCACTGAAGGCACTGGCGAAAAACAAGGCTCCAGGAATTGTGGGAATACCAATTGAGATGTTTCAACAAACAGATGCAGAGCTGCAAGGGCTCACTCGTCTATGCCAAGAAATTTGGAAGACAGCTACCTGGTCAAGCGACTGAAATAGATCCATATTTATGCCTATTCCCAACAAAGGTGATGCAACCGAATGTGGAAATTATTGAACAATATCATCAATATCGCATGCAAGCAAAATTTTGCTGAAAATCATTCAAAAGCGGCTGCAGCACTACATCGACAGGGAATTGCCAGAAATTCAAGCCAGATTTAGAAGAGGACATGCAACCAGGGATACCATAACTGATGTCAGATGGATCCTGGCTGAAAGCAGAGAATACCAGAAAGATGTTTACCTGTGTTTTATTGACTATGCTAAAGCATTTGACTGTGTGGATCATAACAAATTATGGATAACACTACGGAGAATGGGAATTTCCAAACACTTAATTGTGCTCGTGAGGAAACTGTCCATGGATTAAGAGGCACTCGTTCAACCAGAACAAGGGGATACTGCATGGTTTCAGGTCAGGAAAGCCGTGTGTCGGGGTTGTATCCTTTCACCATACCTATTCAATCTGTATACTGAACGAATAATCCAAGAAGTTGGACTATATGAAGAAAAACCGGGCATTAGGATTGGAAAAAGACACATTAACAACCTGTATTATGCAGATGACACAACCTTGCTTGCTTAAAGTGAAGAGGACCTGAAGCACTTACTGATGAAGATCAAAGACCACAGCCTTCAGTATGGATTACACCTCAACATAAAGAAAACTAAAATACTCACAACTGGACCAATAAGCAATATCATGATAAACGGAGAAAAGATTGAGGTTTTCAAGGATTTCACTTTAGTTGGATTCGCAATCAACACTCACGGAAGCGGCAGTCAGGAAATGAAAAGACCCACTGCACTCGACCAAATCTGCTAGAAAAGACCTCTTTAAAGCAAGGAAATGTGAGGATGTCAACTTGAGGACTAAGGTGTGTCTGACCCAAGCCATAGTGTTTTCAATCACCTGATATGCATGCGAAAGCTGGATGACGAATAAGGAAGACCGAAGAAGTGATGCCTTTGAATTGTGTTGGCAAAGAATACTGACTATACCATGGACTGCCAAAAGAATAAATTTCTCTTGGAAGAAGTGCAACCAGAATGCTCTTTAGAAGCAACGATGGCGAGACTACATCTCACATACCTTGGACATGTTATCAGGAGGGATTAGTTCCTGCAGAAAGACATTATGCTTGGTAGAGGCTAAAGGAAAACGAGGAAGACCCTCAATGAGATGGACTAACACAGTGGCTGCAATGATGGGCTCAAGCATTGAAATGATTGTGAGGATGGCACAGGACCAGGCAGTGTTTCGTTCTGTTTTACATAGGGTCTCTACGGCTCGGAGCCAACTGGACGGCACCTAGTAACAACAACAATACAAAGCCAACAGCCAACATAATCGTAAAAGGAGAAACACTGAAAGCATTCCCCTTGAGAATGGGAATCAGACAATAATGCCCTTTATTACCACTCTTATTCACCATTGTGCTGGAAGTCCTAGATAGAGCAAGAAGCCAAGAAAAAGAAATAAAGGACGTTGAAATGGATAAGAAAGAGGCAAAATTATCCTTATTCACAGATGATATGATCTTACACACAGAAAACACCAAAGAATTCACATGAAAGCCACTGGAACTAATAGAAGATTTCAGCAAAGTATCAGGATACAAGATTATCATACAAAAATCAGTTGGATTCCACTACACCAACAAAGAAAACTTCGAAAGGAAATCATCAATTTAAC